AAGGAATCTACTCCTGAAATCATGGTTGAACTAATTTGGATTTAATTTTTAAAAAAATAAATAAAATTAAAAATTAAAAAAAAATAGTGATAACTACTTAGCAAGTAATTACCATATGCCAGGCATTTATATTCTCATTCAATCCCTATAGCCATTCTAATAATTAGATATTATTGTGACTGGTTTATGGAGAGGGAAACTGAATTAAGCAGTTTGCCCATGGCTGCACACATGCACTGTCCTGGTCTCTGAAGTACACACTACTAAACTGTATTCTTCTTAAGCCCAAGTAAAGATTGAGCACATAGGACTGGAGACAGCCTCTTCCCATTTATTTTCTCGACTGTAAATGTGTTAAGTGCATGGGGTCCTTGGATGGAGGGGGAATTAGAGAAAATAAAAAAATCTCTTCTTCAGATAGCCCAAGATACTAGTTTCCTAGAAAGAAATAAGGAGAAAGCAGATACTAAAGGAAACATAAAATATCTATATAGCTTTTTTCCCCCCCAGGTGAGCAAAGTTTACAGAAGAAATATACTCTAGTTAAAAACTGAACAGAGAAATGTATAAAATAATCCCACCAGAGAAGATTGCTATTAATAGTTTGTGTATACTTTCCGGGATTTCTCCCACATATAATTCTTTTAAAATAAGATCATTATAGGGGTACCTCGGTGGCTCAGTCTGTTAAGCATCCAACTTCAGCTCAGGCCATGATCTCATAGCTCGTGAGTTTGAGCCCCACATCGGGCTCTGTGCTAACAGCTCAGAGCCTGGAGCCTGCTTCAGATTCTGTGCCTTCCTCTCTCTCTGCCCCTCCCCTGCGCAGACTCTCTCTCTCTCTCTCTCTCTCTCTCTCTCTCTCTCAAAAATACATAAACATTAAAACAAAATGTTAAATAAGATCATTAGGTACACACATACTTTTCATCTAATAATATGTTACATAAATTTTTATTTTTTCCTGGGAGTTCTTGGTGTTACATTGTCTGAATCTACAATAATTTATCTAATATTCTATTGATTTGGACATTTAAATTAGTTTTAAATTTTTCATTATAACAAATATTCTACAATAAACATTTTTATGTAAACATTTTTCAACGTGTATAAAATAAATGTAGAAGTGCAACTGTGCAAGTCAAAGGAAAGGCATATTTAAATTTTTAAGGACTAATGTCAAATATCCTGTGTTTTCTATTTCTGACCCATCACTGTACAAAAGTGCCTATTCCCTTCATATTTTTGCCAATACTGGGTATTATTAATCTTTTTAACATTTGCCAGTGTGAAGAGTGAATTGTATCTTATTATTTTTTATTTAACTGTTAAGTTACTAAGCATCTTTTCATTTGTTTATTTGGCCACTTATATTTTTTCTGTGAATTCCCAATTCTATCTTCTTTTTCTAATGGTAATTTAATAATTTTCTTATTAATTTTGATGAAGTTCACAGATATTAGGGATATTTTAGCATTTGTCTACTATATATATATATTACAAATTTGGTTTCCTAATTTGTCTTTTGACAAATTTTTCTTCTCCTCCTCCTGCTCTTTCTTCCTCCATTTCTTTCTCCTCCTTCTCCTCTTATCTCTTTCTGTCACTCTCTCTGCCATATAGATGTTTATAATTCTTTTGCCAAAGGTTTATGACCTTTGGACTTCAGGTATTTATTAGAAAGCCATTTGATAGTCCCAAGAGTATACAAATATCAATTCATGTTTTCTTCCAGTACTTTAATTTTTTTTCATAATCAAATAGTTGATCTAAGTTGATTTCATTCAAATTTAGTTAGGAATCTAGGTTTTCATGTAAAATCATCTGCTTTAAAATGTCTGTTTTAAAAATATATGTGTTAGCATATGAGTCAAATAAAACAACCCTGGTGACCAGATTTGGCCACAGAATGACATAAATAAATAAATAAATAAATAAATAAATAAAGCTACAGTAATGAAAAATAGTGTGGTATTGGCATAAAAATAAATCAGTGGAACAAAACAGTCTAAAAATAGACCAATGTATATATGGACAACTAGTTTTTTAAAAAGATACAAGGACAATTCAGTGCAGAAAGGCTGGTCTTCAACAAATGGTGCTAGAAAAAACAGCCATAAACAAATAACAAAAACAAAAAACTACATTGGATCCACACCTCACATTAAAAAAACACAATAGCGTGCCTGGATGGCTCAGTTGGTTAAGCGTCCAACTCTTGGTTTCAGTTCAGGTGATAATCTCATGGTTCATGAGATCGAGACCCATGTCGGGCTCTGCACTGACAATGTGGAGCCTACTTGGGATTCCCTCTCTTCCTCTCAGGGAGTCCCTGCCTTTCTCCCAAAATAAATAAATAAACATTAAAAAAAATAATAATAACATAAAATTCAAAGACAACCATAAAACTAAATATAAAACCAAAAACTACAAAACCTCTGCAAGAAAACGTTAAGAAAAACTTTTTGCAATGTTGCATTAGGTAAAAATTTCTTAGCTATGACCTCAAAAGACACTTCAATAAAGAAGATAAAGGGATGGCACGTAAGTTCACGAAAGGATGCTTAACAACATTAGTTATAAGACAAATGCAAACTAAAGCCATAATAAATAATTTTTAAAGCCTGTGGACAGATTTTATTAAATTTCATTTATTATTTCATCACCTGGTGCTCTACCTCCTGAAGTAGGGATTCCAACAGCTCTGTTTCTTGTGTTAGAGAGGTCTTCTGACCTATTTAAAAACAGCAAAACACCAACACTGGTTTAAGAATAAAATTAACTTTCACTGAACATAGTCAATAACAAAGAATCAATTTCAATTACGTGAAACTTCACTATAGCTACCCTAAAAAATTTCACCAGAACTTTAAAAGGTTCCATTTAGGGGTACCTGGGTGACTCAGTTGGTTGAGCGTCTCACTCTTGATTCTGGCTCATGTCATGATCTCACAGTTGTGGGAACAAGTCCTGCATTGGGCTCTGCACTAATAGTGCGGAGCCTGCTTGGGCTTCTCTCTCCCTCTCCCTCTGCCCCTCCCTGCTCGTGTACATACTCTCTAAAATAAGTAAACATTTAAAAAAAAAAAAAAAAAAAAAAAAAAAAAAAGAAAAAGGTTCGATCTAATATTGTAGTAGCTTTGACAAGGGGATTTCAGAATCAACCATAACTATAGTTCTAGACAAACTGCAATTAAGGTCAATTAAATTCATAAAAGAATACATAATACTATACTCTGGAAAGACATTAAGGTTATTGTTTCTTCTAAAGGAATATAAAAGATCTAGCAAAGTAAATTTTTTACTCAATCAACTCTTCTGAAGTAATTCCCCCCTGCAAAATTTAACTGTGGCTTAAAAAGAAGAATACAGTAAGTTGGCCAGATGTTACATTACATGTCAACAAAAGATATGTTCTTTAAACATAAAAACCTGTGAAAACAAAAAACAATGCCCAGACAATTACAGTCTTAAGAAGCTGAAACACACAAGAATAAACGAATTATCATTATAGAATTACTATTAAAAAAGTAGGAAAAAAAAAAAGAAAAAACTTTAAAAAAAGGTAGAAATAAAAAAGAAAAAGAAGAAACCACTTTGCATGTTGGGGGGAAAAAAAAAAGATGATGAAAGGCAGGCATGTTTGCCAAATCAGGCCATTTCTAGAAGCATACATACCCAAGAGGTTAGCAGGAGTTATATTAATTAGGTATAATATTATTTGATAAAGGGACATTTAATAACTGGAAGTTTTATTTTTGAAAGCAATCTTTTCCTCCCTAGCCTATTTGATTCTTTCTAGATTGGCTCAAAGCATCAAATATCCCAACAGCATAGAAAACCACTCACCCATTAGTGTTATAAGCTTATTCTTCAGCTGTGTGTCTAATCGTGCAATCATCATCTCCACTGCATTCCTAATTTCCCGAACACGCTCATCTTTTGCATTTCGTACAGCTTCTACATTTCTTTCCTAGAAGGTGAACAAGTAAAAAAAATTTGATTGAAGAATTTTTAAAATAGAAGCAAACATACATTAATGCAATCACTGCAATTATTCTTAAAGTCAGTTGATTTCCTCTTTTATGTAAGCCAATAATACTTTTTTAAAAATGTTCATTTAATTTTGACAAAATACAACATACTTTCCTGATAAAAATCCCCAAGGAAGTAGAGGCAGAATGAACATACCTCGAGATCATAAAGGCCATATATGAAAAACCCACAATTAATACCATCCTTGAGAAAAACAGACCTTTCCCCCAAAGTTCAGGAACACGACAGGGATATCCACTCTCACCAGTGTTATTCAACATAGTGTTAGACAGCCTCAGCAATCAAACAACAAAAAGAAATAAAAGGCATCCAAATCTGCAAGGAGGAAGTCAAACTCTCACACTTCACAGACAACATGACTGGAACACCCAAAAGACTACCAAAAAAACCGCTAAAACTGACCCATGAATTCAGCAAAGTTGCAGGATATAAAATCAATGTACACATATCGGCTGCATTTCTATACACCAATAATGAAACAGCAGAAAGAGAAATCAAGGAATCAATCTCATTTACAATTGCACCAAAAACCATAAAATACACAGGAATAAACCTAACCAAAATGAAAGATCTATGCACTAAGAAGTACAGGAAGTTTATGAAAGAAATTGAAGACACAAAGAAATGGAAAAACATTCCATGCTCATGGATTGGAAGAACAAATATTGTTAAAATGTTGACACTACCCAAAGCAATCTACATATTCAATGCAATCCCTATCAAATTAATACCAGCATTATTCACAGAGCTAGAACAAATAATTCTAAACTTTGTATGGAACCAGAAAAGACCCTGAATAGCCAAAGTAATGTAGAAAAAGAAAACCAGGGGCGCCTGAGTGACTCAGGTGGTTAAGCATCTGGCCCCTGATTTCAGCTTAGGACATGATCTCACGGTTTGTGGGTTCAAGCCCCACATCCACATCGGGCATGGATGGCATGGATCCTGCTTGGGATTCTCTCTCTGCCCCTCCCCTGCTCATGCTCTCTCTCTCTCAAAATTAATAAACTTAAAAAGAAAAAATTAAAACAAAAAAATTAAAAAGAAAAAAAAAGAAAAAGAACCAAAGCTGGAGGCATCCCAATTCCAGACCTCAAGCTATATTACAAAGCTGTAATCATCAAGACAGTACAGTACTGGCACAAAACCAGACACACAGATCAGTGAACAGAATAGAGAACCCAGAAATGGACCCATAAACATATGGCCAACTAATCTTTGACAAACTAGTAAAGAATATCCAATGGAAAAAAGTCTCTTCAGCAAAGGTATTGGGAAAACTGGATAGCAACATGCAGAAGAATAAACCTGGACCAATTTCTTACACCATACACAAAAATAAACTAAAAATGGATGAAAGACCTAAACGTAAGACAGGAAGCCATTAAAATCCTAGAGAAGGCAGGCAGCAACCTCTTTGACATTGGCCATAGCAACTTCTTACTAGTCACATCTTTAGAATCAAGAGAAACAAAAGCAAAAGTGAACTACTGGGACTTCATCAAGATAAAAAGCTTCTGCACGGCGAAGGAAGCAACCAAAAAAACTAAAAGGCAGCCTACAAAATGGGAGAAGATATTTGCAAATGACACATCTGATAAAGAGTATCCAAAACCCATGAAGAACTCAATACCCGAAAAACAAATAATCTACTGAAGAAATGGGCAAAAGACATGAATAGACACTTTTCCAAATAAGTGGCTAACATCCAGATGGCTAACAGACACATGAAAAGATGCTCAACATCACGTACCATCAGGGAAATACAAATCATAACCACAATGAGATACCACCTCACACTGGTCAGAGTGGCTAAAATGAACAATTCAGGCAACAAAGATGTTGGCGAGGATGTGGAGAAAGGGGAACCCTTTTGCACTGTTGGGAATGCAAACTGGTGCAGCCACTCTGGAAAACAGTATGGAGGTTCCTCAAAAAATTAAAAATAGAACTACCCTACAACCCAGGAGTTGCACTACTAGGTATTTATCCAGAGGATAAAAAATGCTGATTTGAAGGGACACATGCACCCCAATGTTTATAGCAGCGCTATCAACAACAGCCAAAGTATGGAAAGAGCCTAAATGTCCACAGACTGATGGATAGATAAAGAAGATGTGGTGTGTGTATGTGTGTATATACACACATATATATAACAATGGAATATTGCTCAATGATGAAAAAGAATGAAATCTTGCCATTTGCAACAACATGGATGGAAATGGAGGGTATTATGCTAAGCAAAATAAGTCAGTCAGAGAAAGACAAATACCATATGATTTCACTCATATGTGCAATTTAAGAAACAAAAAAGGGAAAGTGAAGAAAAATAAGATAAAAACAAAGAGGGAGACAAACAATAAGAGACTCTTAAATACAGAGAACAGAGGGTGGCTGGCAAGGAGTTGGGTGGGGGGAAGGGCTACATGGGCAATGAGCATTGAGAGCACTTGTTGGGATAAGCACTGGATATTACATGTACATTTAGTGATCAATCACTAAATTCTATTCCTAAAATCATTATTACACTGTATGTTAACTGCCTTGGATTTAAATTAAAAAATAAAATTAAATACATAAAAATAAAAAAATAAAGGAGTATATTAAATAGGGATCAAAACATCAGCATTACCTAATAAAGTATCAAAATATCAGCGTTACCTAATAAAGGTCATACTGGAAGAAAAAAAATGTTTACTTATTTGGGGGGCAGGGGGGAGATAACGTGAGCAGAAGAGGGACAGAGAGAGAGGGAGAGAGAATCCAAAGCAGGCCCCTTGCTGTCAGTGCAGAGACTGACACAAGGCTCGATCACATGAACTGTGAGATCATGATCTGAGCTAAAATCAAGAATCAGAGGCTCAACCAACTGAGCCACCCAGGTGCCCCAAGCCAATAATACTTTTTAATTGTTTACATATCATAGGAAACTCACTGTTTTAAAAAACTGTGCACTGAACCAAATCAGGAATGATATTCTTAAAAATAAACAAAACATAATAAAGTACATGCTATTTTAACAGTGTAAGACAATTACAAAAAAATTGTTTGGGGAGTCTGGCTGGCTCAGTCAGTGGAGTGTGAAACTCTTGATCTCTGGGTTGTGAGTTTGAGCCCCAGCTGGGTATAGAGATTACTTAAAAGTAAAATAAAATCTTAAAAAATAAACGCTTCAGGTACCATATACAAAATACATACATACTCAAAGCCCCAATCATATCTCTGATAGAAAACCACTATACAAAAATAAAAATATATACTAATACCAGGTTCACATCATGCAAAACCCTAGAACAAATAAAAACTCAAAAACCATTATCTATTCTTCGGGCGCCTGGGTGGCTCCATTGGTTAAGTGTCCAACTTCGGCTCAGGTCATGATCTCGCAGTTCATGAGTTTGAGCCCTGCATCAAGCTCTCTGCTGTCAGCACAGAGCCTGCTTTTCATCCTCTGTCCCTCTCTCTGCCCCTCCCCAACTTGCGTGAACGTGCTCTCTGAGCGTGCTCTCTCACTCTGTCTCTAAAAAATACACATAAAAAGAAAACATATCTATTCTAGTTTACATAGTTTTTAATTTTTTTCAGAACAGAGGAAAAAAAATAGAATTTTCAAAGACTCCAGAGTACAATGTAGATTTCATAATAGGATGCTACCAAAATTAAAAAAGCAATCTTTCCTATACTTATTGTTATTATAAATACAAACAATAAGAAAATCAACCTAGAACACCCTCCTTAACAACCAAATAATGTTGCCAAGAGAAAAGAAAAGAAAGGTAGTTAGATGAAGTCCAAAGAGAAGTCTTTCAACTTGTTTATATTCCAAAACTACTTTGTAGGTAGCATACACACAACTCAGAAACACTACTATAAACAATGGTTTGAATCTTCATTCCTGAAAGGGTAAAACAAAGATATCTTAAGTTAGGAATGGTCTGTAAAACTCACTAGTTACAACTGGCCTTCTGGCAACATTAAACAAAATATATTTCAAAAGTACATTCAGTACTTAAATGTTTGAAACTTAACACATTTCCCCAAATAATACTTCAAATGGTAAATAGCTTACCAAAGCTGTTCGACCCATAAGGTATCTAAAGAGTAGTGTTAAATATTACTCTTTCAATTCTGCAGAGTTCTAATTCAAGGCATCAGAAACAGTTCATTTATTGGTAGCAGAAACTCTCCCAAAACCTGGGAGTCCAAAGAATGAATGACTTAATGACTTTTTAAAAGTCAGTATTGATTGTTTAGGAGTCAATTATTGACTCTGTATCAAACAGGCTTATTTATTTATTTATTTATTTTTTTTTTTAATTTTTTTTCAACGTTTATTTATTTTTGGGACAGAGAGAGACAGAACATGAACGGGGGAGGGGCAGAGAGAGAGGGAGACACAGAATCGGAAACAGGCTCCAGGCTCTGAGCCATCAGCCCAGAGCCCGACGCGGGGCTCAAACTCACGGACCGCGAGATCGTGACCTGGCTGAAGTCGGACGCTTAACCGACTGCGCCACCCAGGCGCCCCTCAAACAGGCTTATTTAACTCATTCATTGATTCTCTTAATTCTGCATAAGGCAATTCTCTGGCTCCAGCTGTGGAACAGGCCAGGGGTTTAGATGCAAATTCCTTAGCTGTCTGAAGTTAGTAAAACTGACTATAAATATACTTTATCAAATTTTCAAGTATCAATTTCAATATAATTGATTTGTACTGCAAAAACATATATATTATATATGATAAACTATAAAACGGATAATGATCTTTCAGTAGTAGTCTTACCACTTCTTGAACTAAGCTGATCAGTTCCATGAGACGCCGACGAAGTTTGGCTACTTCTTCATTCACTTTAGTAACATGCTGCTCATAAATTTCTGCCAAAGGTTTAAAGGTATGTCCACCATGCTATTTGAAGTAATAAGAATAATTTTAGAACATTTTCTTTTACCTTATTCATTTACATTTCTTTATTAACACTCTATGGATGCTAATAAACTGGTTAGTAGTTTACTTTTTTGGCTGTCTTTACTTTGTTAAAATCAACCAGAGCTTCCTTAAAATCACTTGGCCCATATAGGAAATCCTTAAAGATTGTAGCATAGGGGTGGCTTGGATGGCTCAGTCAGTCAAGCATCCAACTTTGGCGCAGGTCATGATCTCACCGTCCATGAGTTCAAGCCCTACGTTGGGTTCTGTGCTGACAGTCAAAACCTAGAGCGAGCTTCAGATTCTGTGTCTCCATCTCTCTCTGCCCCTCCCCTGCTTGCGCACTCTCTCTCTCAAAAATAAACATTAAAAAAAATTTTTTTTAAAGAACTGTAGCAAAATGTTTACATTTATCTAGAAATCTTTACTCATTTAAAAGAACCAAAATCTTTAACCATGGTTCCAACCACCTGACACAACTTTATTTGCCACTTTCTTCTTCATCAGCACTAGCCTTTTCAAGTTCTCAAACTTCTTTTCAGTAGGCCTTTGCGAAAGTAACTCCTTCTTACTCAAAAACAATTTTCCTTCATCTTCCCTCCCCAAACTCTTCACCTTTTAATTACTACTCATCCTTGGGAGCTTAGCTCAGTCTTACAGGGTCAGGTCCCAAAGTTATTCACAGTTATCAGCACTGCATAAACATCCCTAATACCTATTACGACAATTAAATATACAGAACTGTTTGATATCTATATTGTTTATCACTAAACCGCCAGTCTCTAGCACAACTGAATTAATTAGTAAGACACTGAAAGGACACTATTAGCAAAGCAATACACTCATTCCTTACTCCACAAAGAATTACTGTAGAGACAGAAGACTCATTAATCCATTTGTATTCAAATAATTTTTGAGAGCTAACAACCAATTTTCTTTTTTTTTAATGTTTACTTTTTAGAGAGAGGGACAGAGTGAGAGCAGGAGAGGGGCAGATAGAGAGGGGGAGACACAGAATTCAAAGCAGGTCAGAGCCCTGTGCTGACAGCTCAGATACAGATCTCAAACTCATGAACGGCAAGATCACGACTTGAGCCGATGTCGGACACTTAACCAACTGAGCCACCCAGGTGCCCCCTAAAACCAATTTTCTGTCCAATTTTAGTACTATAACTTATAACTCTCTTAATATATAGAACTTGAATTTATATTGTAAGAAACTACCTATTAATGGAAAAGTCCTCACTAGCATTGTCTTATCCAACCAAAGCACCTAAACATAGCCTGTAAGATAAAAAAGATGTAGATTTTTGCATGTCCACTTAAAGTATAGAAAAGAATGTTTCCATTGCTTCTTACCAAACCCATGCATTTAAGAACTAAATTGTAAGAATTCAATTTTTCTATTCATCAAATTAGAAATACATTATTCAAATCCTAACAGAAAATTCTATATTGAGCTCTACTCAACCAAGTTGCCTGTCATTCTCTCCCTAAAATATGCTAATGCCCAAAGAGTGATCAATTCTCATTGCTGACAGATATGTCTAGTTGTCTAACAACTTTCTACTCCTACTATAACTAACTCTCCCCACCAAGAACCTATCGTTTTCTTTTTTTTAACGTTTATTTATTTTTGAGAGACAGACACCGAGCACAAGGAAGAGAGGGAGACACAGAATCCAAAGCAGGCTCCAGGCTCCGAGATATCAGCACAGAGCCTGACGTAGGGCTTGAACTCACAAATTGCAAGATCATGACCTGAGCCGAAGTCGGTCGCCAAACTGACTGAGCCACCCCAGAGCCCCAATAACCTATTGTTTTAATTTTCAAGCCTATTTACATTAATTGTACCTATTACATAAGTACACTTTTAATTAAATATTAATCAGACAATAAGACAACTATGAAATAAAAGCTATTTCCAGGAAAACTAACTTGAATGTTTTAGACTTGATAAAAGGTACAATACCTTTAAAAACTACTTTTGAATTAGATTGGAAAAGAAAAAAAATTATAAGATCCAGATGTTTGCATTCGTATTGTTTCACAAATACCTAAAGTTATTGTTCCATTTTTTTTTTTTTTAATTTTCTTTAATGTTTATTCATTTTTGAAAGACAGGGACAGAGCACAAGCAGGGGTGGGGCAGAGAGAAAGGGGGACACAGAATCGGAAGCAGGCTCCAGGCTCTGAGCTGTCAGCACAGAGCCTGACGCGGGGCTCAAACTCACAAACCGCGAGATCACGACCTGAGCCAAAGTCGGACGCTCAACCGACTGATCCACCCAGGCACCCCAAGTTATTGTTCCATTTTAAAGAAACCAAAATTGGAAATTGTGGCCAGGACATCAGATCAACTGACCTTTAATCAAAGATAAGACCTTGATCCTACAATAAAAGATTTGCTAATGAATATAAATTTTATACATTTTTTTAAAAATGTTTCTTTATATTTGAGAGAGAAAGAGAAAGACAGACAGACAGACAGACAGACACAGACATGGGGCAAGCAGGGGAGGGGCAGAGAGAGGAGGAGACAGAATCTGAACTAAGCTCCAGGCTCTGAGCTGTCAGCACAGAACCCAACGCAGGGGCTCGAACTCACAAGCCATGAGATCATGACCTGTGCCGAAGTCGGACACTCAACTGATTGGGTCACCCAGGTGCCCCAAATTTTATAGGTTTTCCATTAAAATATATATTTATGTAAGAGGTAAACATCCCACATCAACATCTCCCACTAAAGAAGTCTGTGGTATGATACCTTCTGCTAAAATCAGACATATTTAATTTTCAACTTTATAAACAAGAGTAAAATATTATTTTCTATCTAAATCAAACAAGTATTTCAGTGCTTTCCAGTCTCTAACTAAAAGTAATGTGCTAAATTTGTTCTACTCACCATTCCTCCCCAAAGTGCACACTGATGGCAGATACACTTCTTACAAGTCCAGCAAAATACACTAAGTTTTTCATGGTGATTTTCACATCTATATGTTATGAAAAGAAAATACGATTTAAATTAAATAAATTAAAACTAAAACATAATTACCTCAACAAATTCCTACATTTGGGAAACAGGTCAATCAATTTTAAACAATATCTCAGCAAACAATATAAAATACATTCCATAGCTTTCATAAATTAAACTAAAGAATCACATGTGGACGCAAATTTTAAGTACTGTTTTCATTAATTGATAAAGACTTTAAAATCATATGAAAAACGCAGACTAATTTCTAAATAAAGTATAAATACAACATCATTTCCTAGCATCACTGTAGAAGATAGGTTCACATTTTGGGCAAATCACATTATGAGTCTATACCTACCCAAACATGTATGCGTGTCCCCCACATGTGGCCAATGCTAAAAATAATCAAGACACATGCAACTGTATACTGTAATGCCATATTCTCATGAGAAATGAACAGCTCAATTTTAAAAAATGAGTTTCCCCTTAAGTTGGATATCCACATACAAAACATGAATTTGGACCTGTTTGCGAACTGAACTTCATCCTCCCCAAATTCCTTTTAGAGGCCTAATGTAAATGTATTTGGAGATACAGCCTTTAAGGAGGTGATGAAGGTCAAATGAGGTCATAAGGGGAGAGCCCTCACCCCACAAAACTGCTGTCTATACAAGAAGAGAAAGACACCAGGAGTATGTGAGGAGGAGCCTTATCCAAGTCAAAGAGAAAGGCTTCACCAGAAACAACCTTGATTAATACCTTGACCTTAAACTTTCAGCCTCCAAAACCATTAGAAAATAAATTTCTGTTATGTAAGCCAACCTGTGGTATTCTGTTATGGCAACCTTAGCAGACAAACACCTTTAGCTTATATCATATGCAAAATTTAAATCAAAGTAGATCAAAGACCTAAACATAAGACCTAAAACTATGTAACTCTTATAAGAAAACATTAAGGAAAAGCTTCATAAAGGAAAACATAAAGGAAAATCCACAATATTGGATTTGGAAATTATTTCTTAAATATGACACCAAAAGCACATGCAACGGAGGTAAAAAATAAATAAATTAGACTACATCAAAATTTAAAACTTCTGTACATCAAAGGATACAAGAAACAGAGTGAAAGGCCAATCTATGGAATAGGAGACTATATTTGGAAATCCTATACCTAATAAAGGAGTTAATACCCAAAATACATAAAGAACTACTACAACTCAACAGTAAAAAACAAAAGCAAAAACAAAAACAAAAAAACCTGATTAAAATATGGGGAAAGGACTTTAACAGACACTTTTCTCCACAGATATACAAATAACCAACAAGCATATAAAAAGATGTTCAATATCCTAATCATCAGATAAATGCAAATCAAAACCACAAGATATTTCTTCATACTCATTAAGATGGCTATTATTAAAAAACAAAACAAGTTTTGGGAAGGATGTGGAGAAATTGGAATCCTGTATATTGTTGGTAGGAATATAAGAAGGTACAGCTGCCATGGAAAACACTATGGAGGTTCCTCAATGTATTAAAAACAAAATTCCATATAATCTAACAATACCACTGCCAAGTATATATCCAAAAAAGGGGTGCCTGGCTGGCTAAGTCAATACAGCATGCAACTCTTAGGTTTATTTATTTTTTAGAGAGAGAGACAGAGAGACAGAGAGACAGAGCACTAGCAGGGGAGGGGCAGAGAGACAGGGGGAGACACAGAATCTGAAGCAGGCTCCAGGCTCCGAACTGTCAGCACAGAGCCTGATGTAGGGCTAGAACTTACAAACTGTGAGATCATGACCTGAGCCAAGATGGATGCTTAACCTACTGAGTCACCCAGGCACACCCAGCATGCAACTCTTGATCTCAGAGTTGTGAGTACAAGCCTCACATTGGGTGTAGAGATTACTTAAAAATCCTTAAAACAAACAAACAAACCAAAAAACTTGAAGGCAAGGTTTAGAAAAGATGAACACATTATGAGCATTGTTCACAACAGCCCAAAAGTGAAAGCAATCCAAATATCCAACACATAAACAGATATACAAAATGTGATACAAATACATGGTGGAAAATTAATCAGACTTAAAAAGGAATGAAATTCTGACATATGCTACATTATGCAAAGTCAAGGATGGTAGTAGCAAAATGACAAATACTGCGTAATTTTGCTAACATGAGTAATCCAGAGTAGTCAAACTCAAAGAAACAAAGTGAAATGATGGTTGCCAGGGCTGGTAGGAGAATGGGGAATTATTGTTTGATGGGTGGAGAGTTTCAGATTTCCAAGATGAAAAAGTTCTGGAGATTGGTTGTACAATGTGAATATATTAAACACTATGGAACTGTATGCTTAAAAATAATTACAACAGTAAATTTTATATTTTATATAAGTGTATTTTACTACAATAACAAAATTTTTTTTTTAAGTTTCTGTTACCTATAAAAGAAACATACTGTTGCATTTCTTAAAAAGATTCTCACTGGGGCCCCTGGGTAGCTCAGTCAGTTAAGCATCCGACTTTGGCTCAGGTCATGATCTTAGCGGGTTTTGAGTTTGAGCCCTGCACTGGGCTCTCTGCTGTCAGCACAAAGGCTGCTTCTGAACCTCTGTCCCCCGTTTCCCCCTCCTTTGCTCATGCTTGCTCTCTCAAAAATAAATACACATTAAAAAAAAGAAAAAGCTTCTCACTAATGGAGTACACTGAGCTTAGAGAAAATACCTAAATGCGTCTACATTTTATTTTCTCATTTGTAAGTAATCTGAATACCAAAAAGAAATTAATGAAAGTATAAAAAAACGGCATATTAGATACTATCTGTAAGCTCATTTAGCATATTTAGCATATTTCCATAGTACAAAGTTTAACATAGCTTTTATAATAAAGGAAATTTATCAGAACAATTCTTTATCAATGGCCTATATGCATCTTCAGCAGACCAAGGGGAAGAGGGGCCAGCTGACATCAAGAACAAAGAAGAGAGACTTAGCAAACACTAGCAGTTCCACTCCTTTTCTCAGAGGCTCTAATAAAAGAAGCCCAATCAAGAGTTAGAAGGGTCTTTCAAAATAGTGATACTGATACAATGCCAAGAGAAAAATACTTAAGTGTTCACCTATAAAACGAAAAAAATTTTCAATAGTGTCGTTAAAATAACACCTATCAACATCTATGAAATACTCAAACACAAGTTGAGGGCATACTTGTCCTTTTCATTTTCTTCATGTTTGGTGAGACTGCAGAGTTGAAGAGTATCAAGCTGCTGGGTTACTTCTTCTGCCCAACGACAGTTTACTAGTTCTCGTAGCTGGAGTGGAGCACTGGAGAAAAAATATGTACATATACTCCAATTCAGGAATTTGAGATTATTTTCTAACATAAACACATTCCAAAGGTAAATATGTGAGATGATGAAAGTGCTATCAATGGGGAGAATCCTTTCACAATACATACATACACATATCAAATCATCACAAGGTACACTTTAAATGTCTTACAATTTTATCGGCCAACTATACCTCAAAATATTAAAAAACAGAATTACCATATAATCCAGCAATACCACTTCTGGGTATATATAAAAAAAAACTGAAGGCAGGTCTTGAAAAGATGAACACCCATGACCATAGCAGCATTATTTACCTTAGCCCCAAAGTGGAAGCAATCCAAATGTCCATTACCAGATTAATGAATAAATGGAATGTGTTACATATATATGATGGAGTAATAATCAGCCTTAAAAAGGAATGAAACTCTGAGGCTCCTGCGTGGCTCAGTGGGTTAAGCATCCGACTTTGGCTCAGGTCATGATCTCACATTTCATGAGTTTGAGCCCCACATCAAGCTCTGTGCTGACAGCTCGGAACCTGGAGCCTGCTTCAGATTCTGTCTCTCCTTCTCTCTCTGCCTTTCCCCTGCTCACACTCTGTATCTCTCTCTCTCTCTAAAAAATAAACATTAAAAGGAGGCGCCTGGGTGGCTCAGTTGGTTAAGCATCCGACTTCAGCTCAGGTCATGATCTCACAGTCCGTGAGTTCAAGCCCCGCGTCGGGCTCTGTGTTGACAACTCAGAGCCTGGAGCCTACTTCAGATTCTGTGTCTCCCTTTCTCTCTGCCCCTCCCCTGCTCATGCTCTGTCTCTCTCTGTCTCAAAAATAAGTAAAAACATTAAAAAATAAATAAACATTAAAAATTTAAAAAAGGAATGAAACTCTAACATATGCTACAACATGCATGAACTGTGACATACAAAGTGAAGGAAGACAGTTGCAAAAAAAAATTATCAAATAAAAACATACTCAAAACAGAGTTCACAACATATTCATACCATATTACTATTAAAATAATAACAGACTGAATGAGAAGTATGGTTTGCAACTTATTTTTACATTAATGTCATTTACAAAAAAAAATTCCAATTACAGATTGAATTCTCAATACCTTAAAGTTGTACTATCCAAAATGACAGCCACTAGTCACAAGTGACTATTTAAAATTTTAATTATTTTTTTAAGTTTTTTTATTTTTTTGAGAGACTGCAAGCATGCACAAGCAGGGGAAGGGCAGAAAGGGAGGGAGAGAGAATCCCAAGCAGGCTCCACGCTCAGCACACAGAACCCAACATGGGGCTCAATCTCACAACCATGAAACCATAACCTGAGCTGAAACCAAGAGTCAACGCTCAACTGACTAAGCCACCCAGGCACCCCTAAAATTTAATTAAAATTAAATAAGAATAAAATTTCATGGGGCTTCTGTTTCCCAGGTGCTCAGTCGGTTAAGCAACCAACCTTAGCTCAGGTCATGGTCTTACAGTTAGTTCATGGGTTGGAGCCCCACATTGGGCTCTGTGCTGACAGCTCAGCCTGGAGCCTGCTTCAGATTCTATGTCTCCCTCTCTCTGTGTCCCTCCCCTGCTTGTGCTCTGTCTCTCTCTCAAAAATAAAATAAATATTAAAAAACAATTTATTAAAAAAAAATAAAATTTCATTATATAGTCAAACTAAATATATTTCAAGTGTTGAACTGCCACTGTTGAACTGTACCCAGTGGAATTAAACAGCAAAGTTACAGAACGTTTCCATCATTACAGAAAGTTTCTGTTTGATAGTGCTGGCTTTCTTAAAAGTTAATATAAAAAAAGTAAACAATACATGATGAAAATGGGCAACAAATGAGATGAAGAAGTAATTTAAGCAAAACAAATATAACTAAATATGCCTCAAAAAATGTTCAGTTTCAATCATTTTTTAGAAAAGCATAATTAATTGGGCCCCTGGGTGGCTCATTCAATTAAGCATCTGACTCTTGGTTTTGGCTCAGGTCATGATCTCATGGTTCATGGGTTCAAGCCCCCATCAGACTCTGCACTGATAGTGCAGAGCCTGCTTGGGATTCTCTCTCCTCTCTGCCCCTCCCCACCTCACACACACACTCTTGCTCTCAAAATAAATAAATAAACTTTAAAAAATAAAAAAGCATATTAAAAATGAGATACTATTTTTCATTGAATGGAATGACAAAAAAAAAACGATAGATTGATAACCAGTATTGGCAGAGGAAAAGGCACTTTTATATCTATTATTAGGAACGGTAAATGGTAAAAACCTTTCTTTCAATGTAATCTGGCACAATTATATGAAAAAAACAAGAGTGGAAATTATCTAAATGTGTCTGAATATAAGCATATTAAATAAATCAACATACAGTCATACACTGGATTATTCACACTTTTTAAAAAAAATGACATATATGTACCTATCTTCAAGGAAGGTCCCACCATATTTTACATGAAAAAAAAAAAAACCCAAAATAGAATTATATCACATTTGGGTATTTTAAGAAAAATGTATACATATCAGTATACTCTTAGAAAAATGTCTAGAATACATAATAAAATCTAACCATCTCTTTTCAAAGTGTTATTTAATGAAAAGATTAGACAGGGAGTATCAGAAATAGAAGTCTTTTTATTTTATTTATCTGTATTAATTAGAAAGTTGGAGAACTTTTCAGTTGTATTTTAATTATAAAAATCAAGAAGTTAAACAATGCTTCTCTAAAAGATGGTAAACAGGGGCACCTGGGTGGCTCAGTCGGTTGGGCATCTGGCTTCGGCTCGGGTCGTGATCTCACCGTTCGTGAGTTTGAGCCTGGCATCAGGCTCTGTGCTAACAGCTCTGAGCCCGGAGCCTGCTTTAGATTCTGTGTTTCCCTCTCTCTCTGCCCCTCCCCAGCTCACTCACACTCTCTGGCTCTCTCTCTCTCTCAAAAATGAATAAGAACTTTAAAAAAATAAAAATAAAAGATGGTAAATAACATACTTAATGCACTCTACATAATTCTTTTATTTTATTTTATTTTTTTAATGTTTATTTATTTTTGAGAGAGAGAGAGACAGAGTTCGAGCAGGGGAGAGTCAGAGAGGGAGACACAGAATCCGAAGCAGGCTCTAGGTTCCGAGTTGTCAGCACAGAGCCTGATGTGGGGCTTGAACCCACGAACCATGAGATCGTGACCTGAGCCAAAGTCAGACACCTAACCAACTGAGTCACTCAGGTGCCCCTGCACTCTACGTAATTCTAAGTCAGATAAATTAGTTCGCATTTATCTAGACAGATTGCTTATTTTCTTTTCAACTGTATTTACAAAGAGGAGAAATGTGACAGAATGCAAAAAAAAAACTCTGAATATTAAGGCACACTTTAATCCCATCACCTTGCTATTTTCCAAATTCACAAATAATCATAGCAAAACACTTACCGGCAATGAGGACATTGAGCTCTCTGCTCTGTCAGCCAGCGCTAAGGAGGCAAAAAATTAGATTTTGATTATAGAAAAATTATTACTTTAATTTGTACATATTGAATACTTAAATACAAAATTTAATGAGTTTAACTCTCTAGTGCTTGTATTAATTACAGAGATACATACAGAAATAGCATTCAATCTACTATCTCCCTCTCATTATCATTATGATGGGGACAAATTTTCAAAGGGACAGAACGAATTCCAAAACGGTTAAGAAGCTTTTCTCTCATAGGAAAGAAAGTGATCTTAAGAATATGTGATTATCCCAAGGAAGATGTTGATAATCTTCACAAAATCAGTAATAATACACCACCCCTGAAAATAAACCACAGTGATGATTTACTGCCATCTAATCTCTCATAAAATCCCTGAGAAAGTCTAAGGTACTACTAAATTCCTTTCTGAAAAGCTAACTAATTTTGAATATGGATTATGAATTATGGATATATACATTAGACCTAAAATATGAATAAGCAATACAACAGAACTTTACATCTTAAGCGCTCTACAGTCCAGTAATGTAATTATAAAAAGCTTTTATAAGAGAATATCTCCACTAAACTTCAAATTCTATTGAGTTAATTGTTTTAATTATTACTGGATAGGGAGTAGTTTTACACCATATACAAAGGAGATGCGAAGATTATTTGAATACCTTTCCAAAAACAATAGGATCATGGTTAAGCTTTTTAAAGTCAAATAATTAACTCAGAAATGAAATTCCCAAGGAAAGCTTAAAGGACAACAAATAAGAGATAATAAGGACAAAGGTACTTCACAGCAAACCATATAAAGCTGGAAGAAAAAGAAAACAGACACAAAAGGATGCCTCTATTAATAACCTTGAAGATAATTTCTTTGGTCCCTCAGCAAAAGTAAGATTTGGGTCAGGTTTCTTCCTCTCAAACAATGCTCTGCTTAAATCCATAGCACTCTTCTAGGGCTGGTTTCAGCCCACACCTCTCTTGCCTCACCTTCTACCTCACTCTAGGGAACCCAACAAGGTTAAGGCTTTAGGTATATTTATTTCCTCTCTCCCCCCAGGATATTCTTCAACTATATCATTCCTACTCATTCTTTAGATTTCAGTTTATGTCACTTCCTCCAGAAAGCTTGCCCTGACTCTCTACAGACTACCACAGCAACCTGTACTTCTTCCTTTATTGTGCTTATAATACTTTATTACACTGACTTATTTATCGGTCTCCTCTGCCCTGCCAGACTATAAGCTCTCTAAAGGTTGGGACCATGACAGGGAGTGACCAGTCCATATTTTTAAATATGTCTCTCCGTTCCAGTCAAAACAGGCTTACTGCTACACTATACACCACGCTTGGTATATTTGTGTATTTGCTAGTATGTCCCCCCCACCATGTGCTGTCCCATGGGAATGTCCAGTAATTAGGTCCATAAAACTTTCCTAACTATAACAAGCTAGTAATCTTTCCCATCTCTGAATATTTATGGCATTTTTACCTTGTATTCCATAATCTAACTTAATCACTAAATATGGTAATTTTAATACTTTGGAAAAATAATATTTCTCCCAAACCAAAACCAAAGGTAAGAACGAGCAATACAATATTAATGCACAAGAAGAATTAAAGAAAATAAAAATTATAGTAGAGCAATTCCCCACATTCAATTTAAGAATTTCTCTCCATTAAAATGGAAGAATCACAGCTTTAGACAGTATTCAGACCTGAGTCTGACTCCTAGCTCTGGCACTTACTGACTACAAGACACCAGACATGTGACTGAGCTCAAGTTTCCTCACAGGTAACAAGAGAATCAACATACCTAACTCTGCAAGACTGGACTAGGGAAATTCTCAGCAAGAGCCCAGCAAATCGAATTCAACAGTATATTAAAAAGACTATACAGCATGACCAAGTGGGATTTACTACCCGGAATGCTGAGATAGTTCAACATACAAAAATCATTCAATATAACACATCACATTAATAAAATGAAGGAAAAAACCCACATGATCATCTCAATTGATGCATAAAAGGTCTCTGACAAAATCTAATATCCTTTCATGATAAAAACACTCAAGAAAAAGGAACAAAAGAGAACTTCCTCAATTTGATAAAGTCCATACATAAAAGATCCAGAGTGAACATCATACTCAATGGTAAACACTGAAAACTTTTTCTTTAAGATCAGGAAAAAGACAAAGATGCTCATTTTCACCACTTCTATCCAACACAATACTAAAAATTTCACCGAGAGCAATTTAAGCAAGGAAAAAAAATACAAAAGCATCCCAACTGGAAAAGTAGTAAAATTAATTGTTTGCAATAACATAATCTTGTATGTAGGAAACCCTAAAGGTTCCACAAAAAACTGTTAGTATTAATGAACAAAATGAACAAATTCACCAAAGTTGCAGAATACAATATCAACCCACACACAAAAAAAACATGTTTCTATATGCTAGCAATGAAGAATTCAAAGAGGAAATTAAGAAAATACATCTACAACATCAAAGAAAAAAGTAAAATACCTAGGAATAAACTTAACCAAGGAGTTGGAAGATTTATACATGGAAAACTACAAAACACCACTGAAAGAAAGTCCTAAATAAATAGACATCCCATGTTCATGTATTGGAAGATTTAATACTGTTAAAACCCCAATACCACCCAAAGCAATCTACAGTATCGATGTAATTCTTATCAAAACCACAATGGTGCTTTTCACAGAAGTAGAAAAACCCATTCTAAAATTCAAACGGAGGGGCACCTGAGTGACTCCATCAGTTAACTGTCCTACTACTGATTTCAGCTCAGGTCATGATCTCGCCATTTGTGATACTAGGCCCTGTGTCGGGCTCTGAGCGGACTGGATAGAGCCTGCTTGGGATTCTCTCTCCCTCTCTCTCTGTCCCTCCCCTGCTCGTGCTCTGTCTCTCTCTCTCTCAAAATAAACAAACACAAAAACGAAATTAAAAAAAAAAGGAATAAAACTTTAAAAATAAATATATAAAGGGGCGCCTGGGTGGCTCAGTCGGTTAAGCAGCCGACTTCAGCTCAGGTCACAATCTCGCGGTCCGTGAGTTCGAGCCCCGCGTTGGGCTCTGGGCTGATGGCTCAGAGCCTGGAGCCTGCTTCCGATTCTGTGTCTCCCTCTCTCTCTGCCCCTCCCCCATTCATGCTCTGTCTCTCTCTGTCTCAAAAATAAATAAAACGTTAAAAAAAAATTTTTTTTAAATAAAAAATATATAAAGACAAATGTTATATGATTACATTTATATGAAATACTTAGTTCAGAGACAGAAAGAATAGTGGTTACTGGGACTGGGGAAAAGGGTAATGGATAAACGTAAGGAAAGTAGGCATCTCTATCTTTATCCTGATCTTAAAGGAAAATGTTAAGGTACTGCTCCATATCTATGAGAATGGCTAAAATTCAAGACTGAATGTACCAAGTGTGGGCATTAATGTGGAAGAATTAGAACTCTCACACATTGCTGGTAAGAATTTAAAATGATACCATTTTAGAAAACAGTTGTACAATTTGTTAAACAGTTAGATATACATCTACCATGTGATCTAGCTCTTCCATTCCTATTTACTTACCTAAGAGAAAAGAAAGTTTAAGCCCATTCAAATACTTGTATATAAACGTTCATAGCAGTTTTCTATGTAAATACCAAAAAGTAGACACAGTTATGTCCATCAACAGGTGAATGGATAAACATATTATGGCATATGCATACAATGGGATGCTACCACTTGGCAATAAAAAGGAATACTATTGATCCACACAACATAGATACATCTCTAAATAATTTTGTTGAGTGAAAAAAGCTGGACACATGAGAGAACTTATCATAAGATTCCATTTCTATAAAAGTCCAAAAAATGCAAACTTATCTACAGTGACAGAAAGCAGATCAGTGGTTTCCTAGGAATAAGACAAGTGGAGGGAAGGATTACCAATAGGTACAAAGAAACTTTTGAGGATTATAAGTATGTTCACTATCTTGTAGTGATGGTTTCTCAAGTATATACATTTATCAAACTTAGCACACTATACACTTTAAATATGTGCAGCTTACTGTATGTCAATTATATCTAAATTTTTAAAACTCTAATATTAAAAAGAAAACAAAGTCGATATTTACAGGAAATCATAAAATGCTACCAATGCTGAATATCAAGGAGTCAAAAACAAAACCAAAACTACTTGATGAAAAAGACTGGGGCAAAAAAATGGGTGAAAATACAAAAATAAGAACAGGTAATGATGGAGAATCAACTGAGAGTAACTGGAAGAATGAAAGAGACCTGGCCTGAAAATACAGCCAATGTTCCCACTTTTTGGTATATGCGTATAGAAGCACAAGAGAGTCATAGGTAGAGTGCTGGCCTGGGAGTGAGTCCAGTTTTGGTCTGTCCCAAACCACTAGATAACTTTGGACAAGTCTATTCATGGGTCTGGACCTTAGTCTGTTTTATTCAGTGACACAAGCATCTGGCCTGTCATGGATAATTAAATTTCCATGGTCAAATGAACAGAGATGGGATGGAAGAGAAGGGAGAGGCATTCAAATAAACAATAATACAATTTGGTTGGGTGGAATGCCCAGGTCTCAAGGACTTTGCTCCTGTAATTATCCCCTCTCCCCAGCATCATTAATTAATCTGTCTCTACTGGTTCACTTTCAATGAGATATAAACCTTTTCAACCCACTCCTTTTTTTTCCCCTTTACATTAAAATTTTTAGAGTTTTTATACTTGCTGTCTTATATGCCTCCCTCTCCCAGACATCAAGATTTTGTCTTCATTATTCCACTAAAACTACTCATCAAGGTTACCAATGTCCTACACATTCTCAAATCCAATGGTTAAATCCCGAACCAGAAATACAAGACACAGTTAACCTACTCCTCTTTGAAACATGTTTTTCACTTGAATTCTGTGATGCCTCACTCATGGCTCCTTCTTGTTATCTCCTGCTTAATCCTCCTCCTCCTCCTGACCTCTAAATGTTGAGTGACCCAGAGTTCAAAGCAAAAAGTCTTTTCCCTATCAGGTAATCTGGTGATCTCATCAAACGCCTTAAATACTATCCATATGCTATTAATTCGATATCACTAACATCCCCTTCCTCAACTCCAGATTCATATTTCCAACTGCCAACCTCTCCAGTTAGATGTGTAAAATCTTAAACTTGACATATTTAAAAACAAAACTTGTACATCTATAGCCTACCCAACTCTTCCTCCCCAAATTTCTTCTATCTCAGAATAGAAAACCATTCATCTAAATGTTATATAAAACTCTCATGTCCCATCTATTAGTAAATCCATTGGCTCTACCTTCAAAACATATCCAGAACTGCCCTATTTTTCACCACCTCCACTGTTACCATTCGAGTCTAAACCAAATTGGTCTCCTCACTTCCTCTCCCACCTATGGTGCCTATAATCCACTTTCTACATAGCAGCAAAAGTGAGTTTTTAAAAATTACTGCGTATCATTCAAAAGCTTTCAATGGTACCATTACAGTTAAAATAAAAGCCAAGGTCTTTACCAAGGCCCTAAGCTCCATCTCCAAATTCATCTCCTTTCCCTCTTTCTCTCTTTGCTCCAGCCACACTGGCTTCTTTGTTCTTTCTCTCAGGGGCTTTGCTCCTTCTGATTTCTCTGCCTGGGACTTTCTTCCTGTAGATACATCACTACCACATTTCATTCTGGTCTTGGCTCAAATATCACTTTTCAGAGACCTTCACAGACTATCTAAAATAACTAACAACCTGCTCATACCCTCCTCAAAGTCCCCACTCTATACCTTATTCAGTTTCATTTTCTTCATAGCACTTTCTGGTATCTAACATATGTCTATTTACCTTTTTGTCCATATCCCAAGTAGTAAATAAGTCAACTCCCTGGGAAGTCGATGCTTAACTCCAAGTAGATGTGTAATTAGTATTTGTTGAATGAATAAACACATGAATGGTACATTCAGGAACCAAGACAGCTTTAGAAAGAAAAAATAGAGGGGTGCCTGGGTGGCTCAGTTGGTTAAGCGTCTGGCTTCAGGTCACGTCATGATCTCACAGTTAGTAAGTTCAAGCCCCACGTCAGGCTCTGTGCTAACAGCTCAGAGCCTGGAGCCTGCTTTGAATTCTGTGTCTCCTTCTCTCTCTCTGTACTTCCCCCACCCACTCTCTGTCTCTCACAAATGAATAAAACATTAAAAAAAAAGAAAGAAAGAATAGAACCAGATTATCCAAGTGGTCTGAATATAAAGATAATATTCTAAGGAATTAAGGCAATGAATCTGATAAGGAAAAAAAAATTCCTTATCCTTCTGATAAGGAAAAAAAAATGACATTTCTGGAAAACATCAATATGGCAGCAGGATATAAAATGAACCACAGATAAGAAAAGACTTGAGGTGCCTGGGTAGCTCCGTCGGTTAAGCATCCAACTCTTGGTTTCAGCTCAGGTCATGATCTCATGGTTCGTGAGATCGAGCCCCACCTAGGGCTCCACGCCGGCAATGAGGATCTTGCATGGGATTCTCTCTCTCTTCTCCCTATGCCCCTCCCCAGCTAGCAAACACACTCTAGTTCTCAAAATAAATATATAAACTTTAAAAAAGACTCAAGATAGATCAGTTAAAAGCTAACTTGGGGTGCCTGGGTGGCTCAGTCAGTTGAGCATCCAACTCTTGATTTCGGCTCAGGTCATGATCTCAGGGTCCTGGGATCAATTCCCACGTCAGATTCCGCACTGAGCGGAGAGCGTACTTGGGATTCTCTCTTTCTCCTCTTTGCCCCTCCCCTGCTCACTTGCAAGCTCGCTCTCTCTCTCTCTCTCTCTCTCTCTCTCTCTCTGGGGAAAGAAAAAAAAAAAAAACGATTGGAGCACCTGGGTGGCTCAGTTAAGCAACCAACTTTGGCCCAGGTCATGATCTCACAGTCTGCGAGTTTGAGCCCGCCTCCAGCTCTGTGCTGACAGCTCAGAACCTGAAGCCTGCTCCAGATTCTGTGTCTCCCACTCTCTGCCCATCCCCCACTCATTCTCTCTCTCTCTCTCTCTCTCTCTCTCTCTCTCTAAGAATAAACAATTAAAAAAATTATTTTAATAAAAAAAGATTATAATTATCTAAGTATGAGGTAATAAAGGTATATATTTCTCTGCTAGGATGATAATGGAATGGAAAAGTAGGACAGATGTAAGTGAAAGCAGAAGATAATAACTGACAGGACTTAAAAATTACTGGTGCCAGGGATCAGTTGGTTAAGCCTTAGACTTTGGATGTCAGCTCAGGTCATGTTCAGGTCATGATCTCATGATTCAGGAGATCAAGCCCTGTATCGGGTTCTCACTGACAGTGCAAAGCCTGCTTGGGAGCCTCTCCCTTTTGCTCTGTCCCTTCCCCATTCATTTATGCACATGTGCTCTCTCTAAATAAACCTAAAAAATATCATTGGTGTAAAAGGTTTCAAGTTTGAGTGACTGGCGGAACAGAACAAAAAGAAGTCAAAAAGAATCAGTTTAAAAAAACAGAATTTGATTGGGAACAAAGTTCAAGGTGCTGGAAAGTCAAAGCCAAAGGAATAGATTTAAAAGCCATACACTGAGAAATGATAATTAAACCTGCAAGAATAAATCAAATTTCCCAAGGTAGATGAAATTTTCCCACTTATTTTTAATTTTGAGAGAGTGATACAGGCCAATTACCTAATTTCCACAGCTTCTGTTTCACCATTTATAAAAAATAATGCCAAATTTATTAATTGCTATTTTAACAATAAAATATTAACACCTTACAATGGGACAGTACTTTACAGTTTCTAAATTGCTTTTTAGCTTATCTCATTTAATGCCATAACCATTCTGTGAGGCAAATCTTGTTACTTCATGCTATAGCTGAAGAAACTAGACTAGGAAAAATTGAGTTTCTCAGCTTATGAATGGAAGAACTAGCATGATATATAACCTTGGTCTTCTCCACATGGTGTAGAAGCAAAGAACACAGGCTCTAAAGCGAGACTTCCTGGATTCAAATCCAGCTCTATTATTTGTTAGCTGTGTGACCGGAAGCAAGTGATTTAAGTGTTACAACCATTACTCTCGACAAAGGTTTATTTATCTTCCTAAGGCAGAAATAAGGAACCACAGAGAAATTTTGAGGTGAAGAGCATGTTAGATGGCTTTGATTTTCCCAGTAAAAGACAAAACCTACTGCAAGTAACGTGGGCAGGGCAGTTTTTAACTATGATTTGCGGCTGTGCTACTAAATCCCTCCACACAAAAAAGAAGTTCTTCTGCTTCACATCTTAGGCTTCCTCATAATGTTCTTTGAGGGGTTCACCTACATTCGTTTTAAAGCCAATGGACTAGGGGCGCCTGGGTGGCGCAGTCGGTTAAGCGTCTGACTTCAGCCAGGTCACAATCTCGCGGTCCTTGAGTTCCAGCCCCGCGTCTGGCTCTGGGTGGATGGCTCAGAGCCTGGAGCCTGTTTCCGATTCTGTGTCTCCCTCTCTCTCTGCCCCTCCCCCGTTCATGCTCTGTCTCTCTCTGTCCCAAAAAATAAAATAAATAAAAACGTTGAAAAAAAAATTAAAAAAAAAAAAAATAAAGCCAATGGACTATATTAATCTCTAAAGTCTCTTGTACCTGTAAGATTATACGATTTTAATCTAAGCCTCTGAACCCATTATTAGCTTTTTCTCCATCCTACCCATCCAACAGTATAAACTCTGAGTCTCACAGCACTTTGTTAGTGCCTCTTTATGACACTATACATACATTCTTCAGTATAAACGGAGCCCATTATGTCACTTAGATTTAAGCTCCTTCAGGGCAAGCACTCCATCATTTATCTTAGAAGTCTTCAACCCCAAACACAATGCAGGCAACTACTTTACAGGTACTTGTTAAATGTGCAATGATTTAATAAATATATTAAAATTATAATGGGTTTTGATTTCTAGACATTTCATGGTAGTTATCTCACCTCCACAGTACTAAGTAATATATGGTGATGGTCTCCCTATTAAGGAACATTCATTTAAAACATTTTTTAAAAGGAGACAAAATGTAAAAATTAAAAAGATAACAAAACTGGGGTGTCTGGATAGCTCAGTTGATTAAGTGTCTGACTCTTGGTTTCAGCTCAGGTCATGATCTCACAGGTTCATGGGTTCAAGCCCCACATCAGGTTTCACAGTAATAGCACGGAGCCTGTTTAGGATTCTCTTTCACTCTCTATCTCACAATAAATAAACTTAAAAAAAAAAAAAAGATAAAAAATATGGTCGATTTTGGGGTGCTTCAATCGGTTGAGCATCCTACTCCGGCTCAGGTCATGATGTCATGGTTCATGGGTTCAAGCCCCACATCGGGCTCTGCTGGCAGCTCAGAGCCTGAAGCCTACTAGAGATTCTGTGTCTCCCTTTCTCTCTGCCTCTCCCCTGCTCATGCTCTCTCTTTCTCAAAAATAAATAAACATTTAAAAAAATAATTTTAAAAGAATATGGTTGATTTTTACAACACATCGTATATACACTAAGGGCATGTAGAAAGAAATGCAACTTACCCTGATACAGCTAAAACAACAAAGCTTAGAGCAATGAGGACACAGACGTGCATCCCGCAACTTCTCCATACAAATGAAACATCTGAAAACCTCCGCAATGCTCTGAAAATAATAAAAAATGTAAGGTACACCAGATTTAGACTACTGAATCAAAAGTAAAAAGCATGCTTAAAACAACTCACTCAACATTGACATTAATTTTGGGCTGATATAACCTGTTTTAATAAGTCTTATCAGTACTTGGTTGGTTAAGGCCCAGTGTACCTCAGAACATCTGGAAAAAGTGCTTTTTCTTTCCTAAGCTTCACAGTGGCTCTATTCTAAGGAAAGAACATGAAATGCAAACACACTTGTGCACAAATATTATCACTGAAGCATAAATTGTAATCACAAGAATGTGGCTATAACCCAAATTTCAAAATATTAAATTATGACAGTTAATAAAAAAAATTAGGACAGTTAATACAGACTATGACAGTCACTAGAAACTTCTTGATTTGAGGATATAGAAAAAAATATCCTTATTATGATGCACAACAGCTAAAAAAAAAAAGATGGACTGACTGAATGAACTATATGAACTTTTTCTGCAATTTCCCCAAGAGGATGGACTGCTTTTAAAATTAAAAAAAAAACAAAAACAAAACAAAAAACCTTTAAAAAAGATACATATACTAACAGAGTGTACTTTGATCAAGAAAGAAACTAATTCAGAATCCAGAAATCTGAATTTGCCCTGATACTCCAACCAACTAGCTTTTTACTGGAGCCTTAGATTTTGTTCCTATGGAAAATTTTAGTGGTCGCCCCATGAAGGCTTTGAAAAGAAAAAAAGAAGAATAAATAGAAGAAACGATAGTTTGCAAGCCTCAGATAAATCATTTTAGGAAGTAACTAACAAGAAAACAGACATAATGAAAAGCAACTTATTGTATATTTTATTTTTACCGTACTCACATTTATTTACTCCATCCCAGGAGAATTAAACGCTCCCAAAACAAGAAAACGTTACAAAACCTTTATAACACTTTCGCAGGAGGAACTAAGGAGAAAATTATTCATTAGTCCAATCATGACTCTGCAGAACCAGAAAGAACCTGTGAGATGCAGACGCTGGGGGAGGGGAGGGTGGACAATAAGACCAATGGGTGAACTACTTTCAACTGGAGTGCCTGTAATACAGTTGCAACTTACTAAGGACCAAGGTAATGGAAAGTTCAAAATTCGACAACTGTTAAATAATTAGGTCCAATAAGCAATCTTTTTTTTTTAATGTTACTGGCCTTTAAGTAAATATCTCAACCATTTGGAATCACAGCTCACAAGAGCCAAATATAAAAGAATAGGTTGTTCCAGAAAACTACAAATAGGATAATAAAAGTATATCCTCATTCAATTTAGGAAGGGCAGAAGTCTGCAAAATGTACGGGTCGGGGAGGAATGATTCCAGTTGGAGAGAGTTTTGGATCTGCACTTGAACTCCCAAGAACAGGTAGCGAGTGCACCGCACGTCTATCTAATGAATTTGCAGTTTTGCTCTTCCCAGACTGTAGTTTGCAAAAACCCTGAGAATGAGTACCGGTGCCAAGACACCCAGAAAACGCCAGGATACCACCACCTGACAAGGCACCCGAAGAGCTGCGGACCTAGCACGGCGTCCTTCGCACTGGGCCAGCCTTCACTACACCCGCAGCGGCGGAGTGGGGGTGCTCTACTACAGGGAGGGCTAGGGCAGGGCGCCCCAAATAAAGAAGGCTCAGGGGGTGGCGGAGGGAGAGTAACCACCACCCTTCTCAACCCCCCTCACCTCTACGCTCTGTTCATCCATTGCCTCCGGCTCTCGGCGGGGTCCTCGGCGACCCGCGGAGTCCGTGGTCTGACCTATTGGGCGCCGGCCCGAGGTCGCCAGGTCAAATCGCCGACGAAAACCACGCCGGCGTGTGGCTCAGGAGGCTCCGACGACCGCCCCACCTGCTCGCCCCATCGCGTCGGGTTCGGCGCCAGCTACCCCCACTTCGCCATATTTATCCGCGCACCCGCCCTAGGGCGCAGTGGGAGGGCGAGCGGTGGCCGCAGCTGCTTCTTCACCGCTAAGCCGCCCGCCAGCGACCGCGAGGGAGCCTCGCACCACGTGACGCGGGCGCGCGCGTATCGAACTGCTGCTAGAGCCCGGCGGCGCTGGTGTCCAGCAAAGAAGGTGCTGCAGGGAATTCGCAAACACCAACGGTAACCAGGGCAGCTGAAGGAGCGGCGAAGAGGAAAGGCGCGGTGCGCATGCGCACAGAACGCGGCGTTAGGGGAGCCGGGAGGAGAGAGGCGGGCGACTAGTTCCCGCGGTGCGGGGGCGCACACGAGATTTGGCTGCTAGCAGCCGCAGGGCTGCGTGTCTTTGGCCACAGTCTAGCGCGCAAGCGGATGAGAGTTTGGCGCTCGCTGGTCTCCACGCCTCTGCGCCCTTAGGGAAGGGCGGCGCTCCACCAGTCTCAAACTTTGGCGCGCCAAAGACTGGAACAACCACCTGGAGTGCTTGAGTGAAAGACTCTGAAGCCACACCCCTAGGTATTCGGACTTGATTCTAAGATAAGGCTCCACAAAATCGTCAACAGCCACTCTCCGCTGATTTGGCTGCAGGTAGCCTTTGGCCCGCACTTTTTGAGAAACCATGGTGTAGAATTGGTGGCTAGTGATTCTTTCTTTGGAAGGAACCCCAGATTCTCGGGTTTTGAGACTTCTGCCCCACCTACTCATATTGTGAAGCCTACAGCGATGTCGTTTCAGGAAGAATGGGACCACAGACTGTAGAGATTTGATCTACACCACTCCATCCTGCGTGTCTTGCCACTTGAGGTGAGCCGTCGCTATGGGACTATGGAAAGTGCAAGCGTCAGCTGTGTTCAGCTTTCCTATGTTGGCGTCTTCATACAATTTTGTCATGAAGTCTACAGATGGCAGGAATTGAGGGTGTGAGACAAAGGTCTTACATCAAATTCTTAATCTGAATTTACTTTTTCCTTTCTGATTTATTGCAAACCACTATTACACTTAACCCACTCTACAGTGCACACGTAAAGAATCAACAATAACCTAGAAAGAAACTCTTGAGTATCAAGGGATTTGGACTTTCTTATAAGTCGTGGACAACAATTTTTTAATACGTGAGCCATGGACAGGGATAATTTAGTAAGATTAATCTGTTACTGGAAATTCTTTAACCAAAACTTATTTATGGTCTTGATGTTTGCACGCCACCATTTATAATAAAACGCCCTGAATTGTACATTGTAGTAATGGTTAATGTTTAATTTTGCTAAGTGAATCTTACCTCAAAAAAGTTATCTGTGAAACACAGTACTGTTCTTGGGATTCAAAGAGTAATGAGAAGTGAAAAAAATAAGACAAATTACAACATATAAATATTAAAATAAGTTCTTATGCTAATATATTTGTCCAAGAACCCAAAAATGTTTAAAGATTTATTGCAACAGTTCATAATAGTGAAAAATTGGAAAACCTATACTATTAATTATGTGTCAATGGTTGTAGCCACAGATTATGGTTAATTTAAGTAAAAAAGAATTTAGTTGGCAGGATGCCTAGCTACCACATGGAGGTAGGAAACCTGGTACCTCAGAATTCCTTAAAGGAGGACCTAGCTGCCTTTCCCCCCAACTCCAACAAATCTAACTTGTCTATTATACAGCTTATCAATGCCTATCAGTACAGAACTGAAAAAAATCATGGTACATCCATATATTGGATTACAACTGTTCAAAACAATAGCAGAAGTGTGTGATGAAAATATCCAAAATATATTTACAATGAAAAACACTGGGCACCTCGGTGGCTCATTTGGTTAAGGGTATGATTTCAGCTCAGGCCATGATCTATCGGTTCATTGGTTCAAGCCCTGAATCGGGCTCAGCAGTGACAGCACAGAGCCTGCTTGGTATTCTCTCCCTCTCTCTCTCTGTCTCTCTTTCTCTGCCCCTCTCCCACTCGCGCCTCTCTCAAAAAAAAAAAAAAAAAAAAAAAAAAAAAAAAAAAAAAAAAACCTAAATGCAGCTGCAGTATAATATATGGTATCAGCCTATTTTTGTAAAAAAATATTTGTAATTTGTGTATATATGTAGAAACATCTGAGGGCACCTCAGTGGCTCAGTCGGTTTAGTGTCCAACTGTAGATATCAGCTCAGGTCATGATTCCAGGGTCATGGGATCAAGCCCTACATGGTGCTCTGCTGAGCATGGAGCTGTATATGATTCTTTCTCCCTCAGCCCCTCTCTCTCACTTGCACTCTATCTAAAAAAAAAAACAAAAAACAAAAAAACCATACATACATACATACATAAATAGATAATGATAAATGAAACATCTGAAGAGATTCAAGATAATTTCTGGAGAATAGACATACTCGTATGTTTTAATTTCCTAAAACCTAAATTTGTATTAATTTGTATTACTTACAACTTAAGACATAAAAACACTATAATCACATAAAAAATAATTATCCAAATGAGAAATAAAAGACCTAAATTAGGGTAGTAAGAGTGAAAATAAAGTGGAGGTTGGATACCATGAACATTTCAGAGAAAGAATTATAGATTTTATTGGCTAAGAAGATAAAGATACAAACTTCTTAATTCTAGGTAACAGAATAGTGCCCATGGACAAAATAAAGTCAGTAAGTACTCTGGAAGTGATCAATTTGAATACTCAGAATTTTTTTATTGGACATATGGATCTATGCATCTAGATCTAATGGAAGAAGTTGTATTTGGGAATCATAAATGAATATATAAAGAAGTGCAGAGAGAACTATTTTAAGGGGGTGTGGGGGAAGAACCAATATTTACAGGATGACTATGAAGGAAATCATAGAGGAAAAACACCAGGAACTTGTCATGACTTCTTTGTGATACTACCATTTTTCAATCCCACCAATCAACATCACATCCCAGAGCCATTCCATGACAAAAACTTCCTAAATATTAACAATACTGAAGAAAATGTTACTGAAGTGTGACTTATTTCTCTGTAATCTAAAGGGGAGGGGGCGCCTGGGTAGCTTAGTTGAGTGTCCGACTTTGGCTCAGGGCATGATCTGAATTCATGAGTTCATGAGTTGGAGCCCCACATCAGGCTCACTGCTGTTAGCTTAGAGCCCCCTTCAGATCCTCTGTCCCCCTCTCTGTCCCTCCCCCACTTGTATGCTCACTCTCTCTCTCTCCCAAAAGTAAACATTTAAAAAAAAATTTTAAGGCGTGGTTCTGTTCTTCAAATACTCAACTACACAGTACAATTTTAACTGAAGCTACTCTCCCAACCCTGTTTGTCACCTATTACAAGTTTGTTAATGGACAAATAAATGCTCATAACAAATTTTTTTAATTAGATGAACGTATAATTCTATCACCTGCAGAACTAATATTGATGCATCTTTCCTAGTCTTTTCAATGCCTCTTATTACATATATGGAAATATTTACAGAACAATTTCTAATTATCAAACCCAAACACTTTACCATCTCATTGTGCTTCCAGCCATCCTGACACACAGAAGTTATTTGGTTAGGATCACATAACTAGAATTTAAAACCTGCTATTTACAGGGGCCTGGGTGGCTCAGTCAGTTAAGGGTCTGACTCTAGATTAAGGCTCACATCATGATCTCACAGTTTGTGAGTTCAAGCCCCAAGTCAACTTCTGTACTGACAACATGGAGCCTGCCCCATGCTCTCTGCCCCTCCCCAGCTCACTCTAAGTAAATTAACTAAAACAAAAAAACAAAAAACCTGTATTTACATTGCAGACTCCAAAGCCCAATCTTAACTACAAAACTGCAATCTGTTTCCCCTATCCCCCATTTAACACAGCTTCAGCATTTCCCAGAAGGTTAACAGTAGTAATTTATTGGCAGCTTGACCTCTTATTATGTGAATACACTTATTTACCTTCCATTAGCCAGATGTATTTGTGTTTTGCTAGTATAAATAACCCTGTGATTAACATCTTTGCATCAAAATCTGTCCCTATGACTACCTTATTGCCAATAGTTATTTAAAAACAAATAGGCACCTGAGTGGCTCAGTCAGTTAAGCATCTGACTCTTGATTTTGGCTTAGGTCATGATCTCAGGGTTTGAGTTTGAGTCCTGCACAGAGCTCCATGCTGACAATGTAGAGCCTGCTTGGAATTCTTTCTCCCTATCTCTCTGCACCAACCCCCAACAATATAAATAAATAAACTTTAAAAAAAAATTTTTACAAATAAATAACGAGGGGCACCTGGGTGGCAGTCTGTTGAGCAGCCGATTTTGGCTCAGGTCATGATCTTGTGGTTCATGGGTTCAAGCCCCACGTGGGGCTCTATGATGACAGCTCGGAACCTGGAGCCTGCTTTGGATTCTGTCTCCCTCTCTCTCTCTCTCTCTGCCCCTTACTTGCTCACACTCTATGTATCTCTTTCTCTGTCTAAAACTAAATAAACATTAGGGTGCCTGGGTGGCTCAGTCAGTTAAGCGTCCCACTTCAGTTCAGAACATGATCTCACAGCTTGTGAGTTATGAGGCCCGCATGAGGCTCTGTGCTGACAGCTCAGAGCCTGGAGCCTGCTTCAGATTCTGTGACTGCCTCTTCCCTACTCACACTCTCTCTCTCTCTCTCAAAAATAAATATTTTTTTTAAAAACTCAAAAAAATTTTAATAAAATAAATTAATAAATAAATAAAATAAGGAAATACACAATTGGCAAGTAACAGTTGCCAGTAATCCTCTGTTTTCAGTTTCTTAGCTTTCATATAGAATGTACAATTATAATAATATAGGCTGA